CAATAGTAATAAAAATAAACAATAATAAAATTTAATAAAAAACGAATAGCAGAAATGTGAAAATTAATAAGAAACAAACGTTAGTCCCGACTATATCCTGAACCCATAAATCTTGATGACTTTTAGATTGCTCACTCTTCTTCATTATGAAATAATCGTAATATTATTGATATAGTCACAGCACAAAAAGTGAATTAAATGACGCATATAATCCTTTATTTGTTATCATTTCCAGTTTAGTGTACAACACGTATATATGGTACCCGTTCGGCCCTCATATAATACAATATTGAATTTGATCGAAACTGTTGAAAAATGTTTCAAATTAACATATAACATATTTATATACATATATAAATAAATATACATATATACTTTTTCTGCATGCAAATGTGTTTTGTGTGCGACGGGCAGGGAAATGGGGGGCGTTTCAGGACATTGTGGTAGCAGTCACAAATTTAAACAAATTAAAAAAAAAAAAAAAAAAAATAACAAATAATTCAAAAACAGAATTTTGTTATGCATACGCAATTATTGATGTTTTACAAAAAAATAAAAATAAAACCTTCGCTGCCGACGTAGACAAACACATAGACAAACTAAAAGCACTCACATTTCTGACACCGTGTTCTCATCTGGTATTCATAATCTCAACGCTCCAGCAATGACTAATCCATGCTGGGTCCACAATTAAAAAGGACCCTGCATTTTATTCTTTTGATGAGCTTAGTAGGTAACGCCGACTGTTATTAATTTTTTTTTGTATTTTTTTTTTTTTTTGTTGCTTTTTTCCCGTTCTGCTGCACTCTATATTACCTTCATTATTATTATTTTGTTTTAGGTTTTTTTTTTACTTTGCAATTTGTGTTCAACTTTTTATTGGACTTAGCCTAGGCTTAAAAGCTAAAAGTACGCTTAATTTTTTTTTATAGGTTTTTCTTTCATTTTGTTTTATTTTTATTTATATTATAGAAATTTTACTTCGCTCTTATGCACCCGCTGCTGCCAATGTGTTGTTGCTGCTGCTCTTTCTTTGTTTGTTGTTATTAGCATGCTATCAAACAATGTATTTTTCATTCCTATTATTTTGTATAGTTGTAATAAAAACCTATATGCGCTTATTACAAAATGAAAAGTGTGGATTCCCTCTGGTGTTCTTTTTGTATTGTTGTTTCTGTTGTTGTTGTTGATTTTGTTTTAATAAATAACTTCATAGACAGTAGCCTTCTTATCGCCCGAACCCGTCACAATATATTTGTCGTCAGTTGATATGTCGCAGCTAAGTACGGATGATGTTTCCTTCGACTGCAAGCGATATAAATAAGGAAGAAATATAGATTTATTATACAATTATATAAAATACGTGAATTGTTAATTTATAAGGTTCAGTTTTGAATAATAGTTAAGGAAGGCAGATCATGATGATCATTGCATATGAACTTGAAAAAATAATTACTAAATATTCATAGACAAATTTTGAGCATTGATTGTTTGGCTAAAATTAGCAATGTTAATCCATTCGAATATTTATTTGAGAGCTTGGATCGAATCACTCACCTGGAATATACTGGCACCATATGGTGTTCGCCATGCGTTAAGCAGGTTGTCTTTGCCGGTGGAAACGAACCATTTGCCGCAGGTGGCAAACCGCAGCGACAGAACGCAGCTCTCGTGCAAATGCAGCTGATACTTGTCTGGTTTCGATGCATGCAACACTTCCACATGCGAATTCTCCATGCCCACGGCCAGCCAGTCACCTGTTAACAGAGCGGAGGGCGTAAATAATGATGTGTTTTAACACCTTGCAATTAGAAAGTAAAAACTAACCCGTGGGACAGTAGCCAAGTGAAAATATTTGAGAACTGAAATCGTGTTGCTGCAGCTGGCGGCCTTCGCGCAGATCCCACGAGCGCACCGTGTTGTCCAGGCCGCCAGTCCATAATCGTGAGCCATCCGGACTGATATCGATACACGAGGCACCGTCCGTGTGGCCCTGGAACTGACGCACCAGTATCTCGTTGTGTAGATCCCAGACAGCGATGTTACCATCGCTGCAGCACGAGAAGCACACCTTCGAATCGGGGCTGATGGCGAGCGCATAACAGGCAGGCGCTGCTGAGGTTAGCTCGGCCTTGATGCGAGGCGTGGGACTGGCCAAATCCCATATCGATAGATTCGATGCTTCGCCACCAACAATAAGTGTGCGTCCATCCGGCAGTAGCTTCACCGAGCGTATATAATTATCGCGCTGCAGGCAATCCAGCTGGCTGACGGGATTCTTATTGCCCGGCTGTGAGATGTCCCACACTTTCACGCAGCCCTTGCCGCCCGTATAGACATATTTTGTAGGATTTGAAATAGTCACCGCACACACGACCTCCCCATGCGATAACGTGTTAATTTGTCGCGCATGTCTCGGTATACCAACGCCCACCAGCGCGTCCGGCGGGAATGGCACCGGCTGCAAGCTGCCCTCACCGTTCATATGGAAAGAGTAAGCACTATACCAAAGAGGAAACGGATACAAGTTAGACAATGGACGTGGATAATATGAGACGATGTACTTACGGCTTTCCACCAGTTAGTGCCGAGGGATGTGGAATGCCGTTTGTTCGTACATGCGCATGCGGATCGTACGGCAACGGCGGTCGTCCATAGGCGGGATCCGATGGTGGACGCTGATAGGGATCCGCCGGTCGCTGATACGGCGACGCTGGATAGCCAGCCGGCGGTGGGCCACCTTGTTGCATCATTTGTTTAGGATTTGCGCCCTGAGATGGTGCTGCAGCGTTTGGTGTCGGTGTGCGTGCCTTTGCGCCCGGTGTGCCCGGCTTATCCATCTATTATTGAAATCATGAATTGAGTAAATATTAATAATTACAATCTGTATCTGTTTAGTCTTCAATGCTCTAGGCTATAGCAAAGGTTCACAGTTGTCATGAGCACATCAAATATTGTTTTGGCTCTTACATCTTTTGTCTTGAGGCTGGGTGTTGAACGTGAAGAACTGGAGCCTGACCTCGAGGGCGGGCGCTCCTGTTTGATGCCACTGCTACCCGGTTTGTCCAGACGCTCGCCGTTTAAGCTTTCACGATCGCGCACCTCCATGGACACATGTTCGCCATTGGGACGTGGTGAGTGGGATTCCTACAATGGTTATTGAAATTACAGTTACTTTTATTTTTCTTTGTGTCTTTTCGAAAAGTTTTATTTTGTTTGTTTTTATTTTGAGGAATTTGTTGCATGAATATCAGGGCCGACACTCAACTCACCATTTCATTTGCAACATCTACGACTAAATCTTGATCGCTTTTCTCGCCTTCATCGTCCTGCAAATAATTTTGAAAAAAACAAACAAACACAATAAAACAAAATTCGTACACGATAACATCAACAACCCAAATAGCAATTCAGCTGTTAATTGCACTACTCTACAAGTATATGATTTTATAGTTTTAATTTCGGTTTTGTGAAGCGCATGAATTAATAGAGGATTAGAGATAGACAACAACAACAACTACATATGAGATAGGCTACTATATATTAAAGGAATATGTTTTTTTTTCTTTTTTGGTGAGTTGAGAGGCAGCAACAGCTGATGACACAATGATACGAGCATACTAAATGATATATACGCTCATTATGGCTGGATACTCACTTGCAGTTTCTCATCTTTTCGACGTTTCGAGTCGTTCTCAATGTCCAGCGGCGAGCGTGTACGGTATTTTTCACGATCCGCTGGCGAAACCGAATTGCGCTGCAAGATTGGAAACAGTTGGATAAGTATTTGAAACGATCTACGATCTTTGAGTGCTGCCACTTACCAGGCGCTCTTCAGCGCCCGCTGGTCCCTCCAAGCCCATGGGCTTTATATCCGGCCTTTGATGGTCCGGCGGCGCTTTGAGCAAGCCCTGTGGCCCGTGTGGCAAGCCCATTGTGGCACCCAATGCAAACGGATTTAGTGCACTCATCGGCTGTGGCGGTCCGCCTGGCACCTGTTGTGCGTGTATTTGTTGCTGCAATGGAAAAGCCGCGGGCAGTTAGTTTACTGAACAAATTCTGAATGCTGAAGTGCAGGCGCTTCAATTGTTTTTGTTATTTGGCTTTAGGACGTGTAACAAAGGCTAGTTGGATGTAGCTGTGCGTGTGTGTGCATACAACACCAACAACATCGACAAGTAGAACAAGCGGCGGCGATTTTGTCTTGACGCATTGTATTAAAAATTAAAAAAAAAAAGAATTCAACAGAATGAACAACACCTTGTGGAGCGGCGAGCGAGAAACAACGCAACAAGCAAACAAACAAACGAATGCAAATGGCAAACAAACAAAATTATAATCACTTACTAAAAGTTGTTGTATTCCATGTTGCTGCTGATGCTGCTGCAGACACACGCATACCGCACGCACAAGCCCATCGTTTAATAAAATTATAGTATTTACAGTTCGCATATAATTATTATAGTATAAACATAAATTAAACAAGTTGGTCATGCAGCTTGATAAATTATAAAACTATTCTTTAATGCTAATGCTAAACTAATCTTACTAGAAAAAAAAAAAAAAAAATAAGGAGAAAAGGTGAGGCAATAAAAATATTAAACAAAAATTTAGTGCTTTATTATTGCAAATATTTGATCAGTTTAAGATGGAGCAATACTAAATTATTTATTATAATTAAAGTATTTTCATCTGTTCTTTATAGCATTAAAATTGTTCTTTTTTTTAAACCTATTTCTGGGAATTTACATGATTTTTAATTTTTTCTATGCTTGATAGGAAATACTTTAAAGCTTTAGCATTAAACTATTTAATTTTGTATATAGTATTTTGTAGTATATTGGGAACTGGCTAAGAAATGTGTATATATAAAATTCTCAAATAATTTCACTCCCAACTTACCCCAATGATCAGATTCAGTTCCTGCATTGTGACTTGCTTCGCACGCTCTACCGCCTGCAGCACTTGTTGCTGATGATCGGCCTGTAGGAATGGAAGTAGCTGGTTGATTAGTGTGTTGAGACGCTTCGCGATTTCCGTTTGCTTGTGCATTTCCACATTAAGGCCATAGGACATTTCATAGTACTGCATTAGAAAATGCAAACAGAAAAGGATTAGATTTAACATATTGAAATTGAAAGTCCATTAGTTATATATTTATATATGTATATGTCTTTACCATAACATAATGGCGCTGCATTTCGGTCTTCTCGTTCGCCAGCTTCTCGCACTCCAATTTGATGCTGAAATTCACAGGAAAAATAATCAAAAGGGCAAATTAGTTTAGTTGAAAGAAATCTCGGGCAACGCTTCCGTCGTCGCGCCGGCTAAAAAATCCTATGACCAGCAGCGCATATAGCGCGCTGCCTGGCAAACCGGTTTACACAGCCAAAGACATACGAGGCTGAAAGGCAGCAGTAGACCAGCCCAGCAGAGCATGTGCGCATGAAAAACCTACAGCAATCAACATTCTTTTTCTTTTTATATTTTTGTGAATCAGAAATCGGACATTCTTTATACGACTTTAACGGAGAATGTTCTATAAAGAAAACGAATTTTTTTTTTTTACCCGAACATTTTCGAGAAATACTTTCAAATATTAATACGAAACATATCCATGAAGAGCAAAAGGACGTTTCATGACATCATTAGACCCATTCATTTGTTATGTATTTTCTATAACACCTTGAATATATTATTATTATTATATTATTACTGAGGGAATCTTTCTGGATAACAATATTTCTGGAGCTATGCGATATTCGATGCCATAAAAAATTACAGAATAAAATTATATGAATGTATGAGATTTCTTTCCCGCTGTTCTGCTGGGGGGCTCCCTTTGCGAAATTGTATGTCGTAGACACTTGCCTGTGATATTGTGCCTGTAGAAAATTGAACTCCTCCTTGATGCGCTCCAATGTATCGGCAATGGTGAATTTGATTGGGCCCTGAGGTGGTGGTCCCTGTTCGTATTGAAGATGGACATGGGGGCGAAACACAATTAGTATAACACTTGATTGGGTCCCATTGCAATCTTTAATACTTACCCCGGCGGCGGGGTGACGCACCGGTGCGGGATACATTATTGTTGTGTTGCTGTTCTTGTTGTAATGCCTGTTTGATTGTTGCCCAAGAAGCAATGGATGAACAATAAATATTTGCAGTTTGTTGTATCGTAATTATTATTGTTATTATTTTTTGTTTGTTATATATTTATATATATTTTAGWTGAGCGAACTGCTTATGCTTCCTCTTCCTGTTGGCAGCGCGCCGCTGCCCGCTGCTGGCACCCTGAGATTGAACTCTCCTCTGCCGAAATTAGCAGCACTAGCACCGGAACATGTATAAAATTTTGCAAGCGTTTAATTGCTTTTGTTGTGATTTTAGATTTAGTTCAACTCATGCGTTTCCATATTGTCTAGCATTTTGCGGGTATCCTGCAATGGGAATTTTACGTTTCTTAGTTATTGGTCGTTATTTTGCACGATTTTTTCAATACGTAGAATCTCACGCACGCACACACATACACATACACACAAACATAAGCGCGCTCACATATTCTTGAGCATCTCAGCAATGGCAGCCATGCCAGCAACAACGAGTGTACACACATACATACAGAGGACGACGCACATACGAGGGTATGAGTGTGAGTGTTTACCGCCGAAAAAATCAAACGCACAGTTGCATGTGCCTGAGCGAAATGTTACGCAAAAACAAGCATGCGGCATAAGGTATAATATGACCGTACACTTCTTAGGCAGCATAAGATATTCTCGTTAAACTATTTCCACATTACTGTGGCATGTAATTTTTGCAAAAGCAATGCACGCTGGCCGCACGCTCTGCACAAACAAATGTACCCCGTGCAATACACATACACATAGACTGCAATTACGCAGGGTTGCCACCTTTAACCGAACAACAAATATTGCCACTGGTCAATACATCGTAAATTTGACGCATTTTTATTATAATAGCTTTTGCATTTACACACTATGTGACAGTTCAGCAATGTAATAAATTATTTTTTATATAAACAATTTATAATCCCAAAAGAAAATGTAATTTCCTGGCAACACTACTGTGACAGCGAGTTGCTCACTCACACATATACACAAACAGACAGACAGACTTATACACGCGCGCGCACCCTAAACGGACGAGTGACAAAACTCACACACAAACACAGGCGCACACACGAGCGCAGCGCAAAAGAAAAATTGGCCCAACAAAAAATAAACAAAAGCAATTAAAAAACGGAGTAGTTGGCAGTACCAATTTTCATTTGGGCATTTAGCTTGCCGTACAATTGCACATTTTATTGCCACTTTGTGTGCGCACACATACACTGCACTGATATTTGCACGAGCCGATTTTTTCAATGCAAAAACGTAATTTTTTACTCGAATTCTACCCGTAAAAACTGGSCTCTTCAACCGACCGACCGACCGACTCGCTACGTCTGACAGTCAGCCTGAGCGTCGTGTATGTGTTGTGTGGCGTTCTCGTTCTCGTCTCTATTTTTTCGCATCTGCTTTAGCCGTCTATTTTGCACTTCGATTTTCGGCTGTATTTAATTGATATTCGACGACGTTTTGCACCTCCCGAAACGCACGATTACATGTGAAAGCTAATCAACTCTAATGCCGATTTGTTTTTAAATTGCGAACGTGATTTTAATGCGTGGAAAAAATAAAAAGCCGACGATATATCGCCAGATATGTCTCATCACTTTATTATTTAGACGTATCGCCGAGCCTCCATATTATATCGACACTTTGATTTATCGATTTGAGTGACTGTTAAAGGATATCGAAGACTTTTATCTATCGTCTATGCAACATTGTTGTGTATGTGCAAATATTAATCTGGCGCGCAATGGAAATTTCAAAATAAATGCAATATTATTTGTCATACTAATTATATATATAATCTATAATGTTATTTACTAAAA